CCTCTGGCCACGCACGACGTTCTCTATCTAAGGTTGCTACCACTCGAGAATAATGCCCAAGTGTGTCGGTAACGCTGCCCCTTCGGACGTCTTGCACTTCACAGCATTTAACCAAAGTCGTCGCTGCCTCATTCATCCATTCCGTCCCTCTAAGCAGACGCGTGAGTACAGTTATTCCCACTTTGTCATGTGGACTCTCAAATACACTTTCACCCGAGCAATCTTGTGACGTTCTACCATGGCGGGGAGGTCCAGGCGAAAACGCATAGCCTCGCAGGCTGTGTCTCGTGTGCACCCGAGAACAGTGTGCATACCTAGTACCTTCGTTCTGAATTCTTTCAAGGCTTTTCAGCTGCAACGTTGACACGGTGAAGAGCCAGGGGCTATAGTCTTTCACATACAGCACAAGAGTCTGGTATAGTATGGCTAAAATTCTCTTTGGCATTCTGCTACACGCCATGGTTGTCAGTGCAGTCAGACTTCACATTTCTGGCTCTTGTGATGATCCTGGTTATGTGATCTTTACCTGAGAGTGATCTGTCAAAGGTGATACCAAGAGATACCCCAAATACCTCAGTCAGTGCTCACGCTTCGGGACCCTGTTGTTGATGGTGACTGTGGGCATCTCTGCTTTCACCGCATGATTGTTCAGAGAGCACCACAGCACACAGGGGCCTTGTCGAGGTGGAGTTTGCCGTTGTGATCTACACACTGTTGCTCAATTCGGTCCTGCTCCTGTTGCACCACGTTAGCTGCTTCTTTTTCATGTTAGAGAACCGTACACCATCTGGACCTGGGGCGGTAGTGGGGGGAACGCTTGATTGTTCTCTCAACGTCATCGTGACTGAGGGTGTAGTTTTACCGCTGACGTATGGCACAGAAGAGCCTTTTTCGTTCCTCTTCGTTGCCCTGGTCTGTCTGCTGAATATACCGGCCAAACAGCACCTCACCTTTCTCCTTGTCTGACCGCACCCACACGTCGTCCTCCCTTTGGAAGTCTGGTAGACTTTTGGCCGACTTCTTTTTCATCATTGATCTATACAGCTGCCAGAATCTGTAGAGTGCCTTATCATCTGTCACCTCTTGACAACAATTTTCATAAATGGCTTCCTTAGCGTCTTTCGCCTCGACATCGAATAGTCCTGAAGCTTCCTTCTGTGCTCTTTTCAAGTCTGGGTTCTCTCAGTAGCGTTGGTATGCTTGTAACGTCTTCCTTTTTGCTCTCCACAATTAAAATTTGTCCAGCTCATCATTTCACCATGACGGCTGGAGGATCTTCACTTGCTTTATTCTCCAGACTGGGATTGCCTTCTTCCTGAGACTGTTGTTAAGGTCTTTGCCCCTGACCTCATGCGCGAATGCCTTTGTCTTCTTGGCGGTTTTGGCGGATTTCCTGCGCCTGAAGGAGCTACGGTGTACGTGCTCTGTGCTTGAGCTCCAACCAGGAGAATGAAAGGATGGCCGGAGAAGGAGAAAAAGAGGTAGGACGAATAGGAAAAGAAGGGCAGGGGCCCTGAGGAAACAACTCAAATGCGAAAGACTCGCCAAAACAAACCTAAGGCCGCTGTACTGGAACTGCATCAGTCTGAATGCAAGAGGGGAAGTAGGCGAAACAATTTCTGACTGATTTGTGTTTTAATTTAACTCCCCCCGTCGACCCATAGATCATAATCGGGTTGATATTGCATTCAAACAGAAAGTTAAGTTTAGTAAGTAAGAGTTTTACTCGGCAATTGCAACACAAATAGGTCAAAATATTATAATTGCCGAAGATTAGAAGTGTTACAAGATTGTAAAATACATGTACGAAAAAAGGAGGAGGAGAGATAAGGACGGTAGAAGTTTGATAAGAAAGAAATAACAAACCACATACAGCGGCACCCGTCAACCACCCACATCCCAGCAGAAAGGCGATACGGGGATACGCCTACTCGATGAAACAGACTTCGCCACTTAAGAATTGAACTCACATCTGTTGAGTGCAAAGGCGAAAGGTCCAGTTATTACACTACCACCCTTATTTTAGGATACCGGTACGGGAACGTATCACTTTCACTATGCATGTTTCCTAAAAACAGAACTACATTCGAACTTATCCAGGACGTCCACCCATCGCCGAGGATAAAAGTGGTCTTCTTAGAAAGTAGACATGTTGTCCTCCTGGACAATATGTCATAATTATAACAATAATAGAAAAAAAAATCAGAAAACGTGAATTGTGGCGTGGATCTTTTGTAAAGGCGGTTGTTTTAGACAGGTTGGTGTCTTATACAACTGGTCGTTAGAGCAGGTTCATTTATAAGCTACAGTATTAGGCTATATTTGGAAACTATGATCTGTTGAGTTGGAATCCGAATTGTCGTCGTTCTTCCTGGGGATCAGTTTCGGGTAGCCAAGGGTTCAGAAGAATGGCTCTAAATTGTGTTTAGTTGAGCTTTAAATTTGAGTCCATAAGAGATACATGTACTGTAACACACCTACAATTTGAAATTAGCATGATGATTAAAAGGGTTTATCTTGACACATCCTCCAGCAGTGCAGGACACACTGGACTCTGGAATAGGGGACCTGGTACACACCATACAAAAACACAATAGCATTCATATTAAAGTGTATCTTTATAACAGGGTGAAGGAAATTAACAGTGCTGGAGAAGTTGTACGGGCCAACAGGAGTTGGACAGCGCAGTTGTGCCTTAGTGATAGACACCGAACTGCAAGTGTGATGCCATGAATTAGAAGAAGAAGAAGAAGAAGAAGAAGAAGAAGAAGAAGAAGAAGAAGAAGAAG